ACTTCTTCTACAAGAATGCTGGAAGATTGGGATTTCTTGGGATTCAAAATTGCCCGACGAAATAATTAAAAGATTCGAAAAATGGAAAGAAGAATTAAAAGAATTGAGCAACTTCAAAATTCCTCGTAGACTTTCAAGCTTAAATCTTTATAAATCAAGCTTAACACTTCACACCTTTTGTGACGCTTCCATGGTGGCATATTCGACTTGCATCTTTTTGAGGACTTGGATAGATTAAAGCTAACTGACAAGACGGAAATAAACAAAAGACTTGCGTATAGAAGAAGACTGATGACAGATTTACGAGCAAGATTCCGTAGTGAATATCTGAGTCAGCTACATCATAGACTGATAGTTCGAAAACCAACATACCATCCTAAAGTTGGAGATATCATATTGATTTGGAATGATAATCTCAAAAGAATACATTGGCCCTTGGGAAAAATACTTTCAGTTTACACAAGTAAAGATGGACTGATCAGAAGAGCCAAAGTTAAGACCAAATCCGGAATTCTGATCAGACCAATTCAAAATCTCTGCCCATTAGAACTGGACGAGGACAATCTCAACAGCGAAGATCAGCTGCCAGAGACTTCCAAAGATGAGCCAGAAAGAACATCATCGGACATTCCTGATTCAGTTCCTACTACTACCAGAGTTGGACGTGTTGTTCGCCCACCATCCAGATTTGGACAATGAAGTATTGAGATTCGGTTCAACATGCTCCGAAACTCAAAAAGGGGAGTGTCAAAAACAAAATACCATTCATTTTCCTTTTCACAGAAAACGAACCAATAGATGGCGCCACGAGACTTAGAACTCTATGAACAATAATTTTTAGTTAGTATGATTTTGTTACTTTGTAGAGATCATGTTGTTTTTGTAGTGTTTACTGCTGTTAATATACATATGTTAACCATTCGAAGGAGTCTCTTATTGAGTTTGTGGTCACTGTCTTGAGTTTATTAGGGTACGTGCCGACCCGGGTAGAAGAACAAGGTAAGGAACTTATTATTTGATACCTGTTCTATTGAAGTAGATAAAGAAAATTGTTATCTTTTTTAACAAACGGCGTGAAGGTCGGCAGACCGTGAGGCACAGTAGAGGGTTCAGGGGTGTCGGCCTAATTTCTAGGTCACAATCCCAACAGAAAAATTAAGATTTGGTGACTCAATGTCACAACTATTTCAATAGAAATAAAAAAAGTGCGGCACTTGAAAAAAACGTGGGTGCATTGAGAAAGTTAAAACCGGATTTCACCGTGAAAAAATTAAAACAAAAAATAAATGTTCTCAGAACTAACTTTAACAGAGAGTTCATGGCCATCGAGAGTAAAAAAATTTTCAGGGACGTCTACGGATGACATCTCTGAACCCTCACTTTGGTATTTCAATGAAAAATGACACTAAAATTGCTTAAGGAGAGAGAGAACTGAAGTGAGTTGACTAACCCCTTAAATTTAAGCATAATTAAACACTAACGGCGACCGTACAGTAACTAAAAACATGTGTTGACATCAAAGACTGCCGAAGGTCAACGGCGTGAAGGTCGGCAGACCGTGAGGCGTCACAGTAGAGGGTTCAGGAGTGTCGGCCTAATTTCTAGGTCACAATCCCAACAGAAAAATTAAGATTTGGTGACTCAATGTCACATTTATACCCACAGCCGGTGAAAAAAATTTTGAAGAAAATTTTTTTTTTTTAGCTAAAAAAATCGTAACCAAAAATATTAAAATTAATAATTTAACAACCTGCCGCTCCAGTCCACTACCTCTGCACTTACAGACATTCAGATATTACATATAAAACTTACATCTCAAACATTTTACAGTATATTGGCCTCAAGTAGGAATGCTGTGTCCCAACATAGTCACAATAGTAATCACAGCACACAAACAGACAGTAACAGCTGTAAATAGCTGATCTTGAATTTTACAAAGTAAACAATTTTAATTGTTTGTTAAAAAGTGAAAAAAACAATGTTAATTGTTTGCTAAAAGAACACCACACTTAATTGTTCGTTAAAGAAACAACAAAAAAACAATCGTAATTGTCAGCTAAAAAAACTTTTGACCTACCCACTCGTCATAACAACATTTTCTCTACCTGAAGTAGACAGTAAAAAAAATTTATCTGTATACACTATTTACATATGGACAAATATATTTTCTTTATCCCATTCCAGAAGCTTTATTTCAATGAGCCTTTTTCCATCCTTTTTGTTGATTTTTAAATTTTGAGTTTTATCTTCATTGTTGATCTTCCATCCTGACTCCCTTATTTTGCTGTTGATCGCTGGATTAGCATTTCTTGGATCTTTCGCCCTGTTTGCTCTCAAGTGGCACCATTTCTATTTTTCGAAGAAAGATAGGAGACCCCTTTAGAAACTAGGGGCTACGTTTATCTCCTTCTTTTTACACCCTTTTCGCCAAATGAATCTTTTAGCTTTGCACGAAACATCATGCCGCAAATGTTCATACTTATCCTGAAGAAATACACTTCATAAAAGACATACCTCTTGCTCTCCTTGGAAGTTGTCCTCCATTTTTTTAGGCTGCAAGGAAAAAAAGACATCCAGTCCACTATAAGAATGAGCGAGTCCATGATCAGTAAATAGTTGACAAACGTACCCCCACTCAGTGCCGTCACAGCACACTTCAGCAGAAAGCCTATCATACCAACGGCAACACCATACAACGTCTCATGAAGATAATGCTGCTACGTTCTTCTCCTCATTTAGTTCAATGTGAACTTGTTCCCCTAATGTTTTCAGTTCAGTACTAATGTTCATAAATTGGGAAATATCTGTATGAATTATTTGTAAATTGTAATTCTTTCCTTTCTTCCTTAAAATATAAAGAGATTTACTTGGCTATAATTACTAACCTGAATGTTTTCCTTCAATTCCTTGATCATTGCAGAGCAAGTTTCCATTATGATGAGTTGCAGAGTCTGTGGAGCAATGGCGCACGTGAATTTGAGATCTTCTAAATCCATGCCAGACGACAGGTACCTCAATGTGATAGACAATCTCTGACTTGCAGGAATCGCTTCACGCATCTTTGTATCTTTCTTCTCAATGTCAGGGCGGAGTAAATCCAGTAGATGATCAAAACTTTCTTGGTCCATTCTCAAAAAGTTCCTGTAGTCCTCTGGTTCTGAATCACTTAGGAAGTTTAGGAGATGTTCATGAGTGAAGTAGTTTCTCAGTTTGTACCACTCCTTGGACCACCGTCGTTTTTTCTTTTCCTTCTTTTTCCGCTTCACGGCAACCAATGTTGCGATTAGGAAGCCCAAATCTGCATTCGACACCATTGTATTCGAAAAAGCAATTAAAAAAGATTTATTATTTATTAAGAATTATTTTTAATCGAAAAAGCAAAAGCACGATCGCAACACACTCCGTTCTGCTTCCACTTCTCGGCTTCGACTGATGAGAGAGTTTTGATCGAAAGATTGAAGGGTTGATTGAAGCACGCTTGAAGCTCCCATCAATCGGAGGGTCAAGCATTTGATCAAGCGGCTTGATAGTGTAGGGGCAGCTTTAAATCGTTGTCTTGCAGCCATCTACAATATCTAAACTTAACAAGTAGGCTAATTATCTAATGTTATAATTAATTAAGGGCAAGCATATATTGCAAAAAACCTTAAGAATAAAAAAGTAACTTACTTGTAACTACGAAAATGTGTAATTTCTATAAGACACAATCGTTTTCGGTGCACGTGTCTTTATCAATAAATTTTCATGTAGAAGTAAATCTGCAAGAAATCTGGCGCCATCTCTAACATAAATTTCTAAACAAAAGCACTCTAAAATTTCAATAAAACTCTGAAATCTTGCATAAAAAGTGGGTTTTCAAATTTTGCCTATTGTTCATGCATTCGGCCAATGGTGCATTAACGCACCATTAATTTTGACTTAAAAATTTTTTATGATAGTTGATTTTTTTAAATTTTATTTTCAGAACTTATAAATTTAACCCATTATAAAAACACATAATAAATCTCAAGTTAAATAATTTTACAATTTCAAAAAATTGTTTTTTTCCAATAACCGTTTGAAGTTTAAAAACTAGCGATATTTGAAAATTTCTCAAGAGAAATTATTTACTCCAATTGAATTAAAAATGTTTTTTTAAATATCTTCAGAACCTTTAAAAACAGCTGAAAAATATTCGCTACAATGTTAATTAAAAAATACTTATTAAAATGGTGCGTTAACGCACCATTGGCCGAAAATGGGTTACGGTATTTGTTTTATTTTCGTAGTTTTCTTCCGTGGAAACATGTTCTACCTTATGATTTGGATTATCTGGGCATAATAATTCAAAATGTTTATTTTTACAAAGAGAACATCTAACATGCTTCGACCTACAATTGTTAGCTCTGTCCTTTTTTTAAACAAACAAAACAAGCATTAGTTTTCTTAATTATATCTTAGTTTCTAAAGACATAGAAGCTGTTTCTTTACAACTCTCTGATGCATGCGACTTATCACAAAAAATACATCCATAATATTCTACTCTTTGGACTTAATATGTTCAGTAAAATTTACTATCTGCAGTAAATAACTCATACGAAGTAGGAACTGAATACTTATTTTTATACTTATCTAAATTATTTCTCTTGGACACGTATTTATCAGATGAAAATTCTTTTGAGAGTTTTAGTTTTGATTCAGTCTCTACTTCAATTCTTTAAGAAATCTATTATTAAGTCTAAATCAGACTTACCCTTTTTTTTCAAACTGATTTTTCTGTCATTCGTAAGCTATTAATGAATCCAGTGGTATTGCTGATTCAACTAATTGATACAAAAAATCTGAATACTTATCTTGTGTAAGTCCAAGGACTTGTAGGGCTCTTAATTTTCCTTGTAGCTCATCGTATAGGACTCATAAGTCAGTTTTTGTTTTGTCAGCAGTGACCAACTTTAATAAGTCTTTGATATAAATCTGGATTAATACACTTTCGTTGCCAAACCTCTCCTTTAAATATTCCACGGCTTGCGTAAAATGTTCGGCTGTAAGGGGGAAAGTTTCTAATATTCTTCTTCGTTTTGACGACGCAGTGGCTTGCGGTACATAGGAGAACTTGTCTCTATCATCCATTCTTTCAAACTGATTTCAGAAAGATTGCCAATTCCTTGGATCACCATCAAACTTAAATAATTCCAATTCTGGTAACTTATAGCTGTTCGTAGTGGCACTCCCTTCTGAAACGTTATTAACGGCATTGTTTACTAATTTGTCCTTGGCCGCTAAAACCTTATTTGTTTTAACTTTCAGAGCTGAAAACTTTTCGTAATAATCCTCAGAAGATTCGTCTTCCGTAGTATAATCTCTGCATGAGTTTCAAATGTTCGTCTTCTGATTGTCGTAATAGACGATTTTTATCCGTAATCCGTTCCAAGTAAATTTCAAGTTCTAAAAAATCTGGATCGGTGTCTGCCATGAGAGCTTCCAACTTATTTTCAGTTCTCGTAAAAGATGTTCGTAATGCTGTACGTGCCTGTTTAGAAGCCTCCATCTTAGCTTATGAACTTAATGCGTAGTTGTTTCGCAGGCGTCGTACGTAGTGCTTTCGTTTTTACATTAATTCGTAATGTATCATCCCGGCAGGGATGCCATTAAATGTGACTGTTTAAGAGGTCCAGGATAATACCAGCACTAATTAATAACATAGTTTATTAGCAAAACAACATTAACAAAGGTATACAATTAACAAGCAATCAAACAAACCATCTTAATCCGGATCTCGTACTTAAAGCCAACTATTATAGAAGTATTTGGGGGAGGTTATCCAATGGAAGCGCGCATGCGCTAACGTCAAAGTTTCAGTTCGGATTTTAACTTACCACAAACTTCCTTAATAATCGCCAGCGACTACTTGTGATGCCAAAAGTGTTCTCAATGAACCTTCTTGCTCGGCATAGTCTATAGTTTAAGACCTCTTGGTCTATACTCAAATTTTGCCCTGAGTACGGCCTCATTTTATTCTTTTTGAGTGGGAAGGCTTCATCTGCTACAAAGACAAGAGGCAATGTTTCATTTCCCTGGGGAAGGCGTCTGTCCCTGGGCAGATTAAGACCTCCTGCTGCCTAGAGTTTTCCCAACTAGGACTCTGAAAATATGGTTGAGTCCTTTTGCTTTCCATAAGCACCTATGTTCACGAATGTGTAACGTGGAGCCACGTGCTGCCAAGAGCACTATACTATAAGTTTCCTTGTAATTGAAGTAGAAAGAGCCCACTGTTCCCGGAAGCTTGTATGACAACGTGTTTGCCATCAATTGCCCCGACACAATTAGGAAAGTTGGTAACATCCAAAAAGGTAGATGCCTTTTGCTCCCACGTTTGTTCATTTGATTTTCTCAAGTAAATAGTCGGTCATTCCATGTCAGTTCATCCAGCCATGGCACCCACCGTCTCAGATTTTGATGAAAATTTGTACACTTATAGAGTTTTTTGTGCTGATTTCAAAAATATCAATTATNTTTGATTTTCTCAAGTGGAGTCAGGCAATCCCAAATGCTTTCACAAGTTTCATTAATGATTACAGCAACTGTGGATAAACCAATCCTGTGATTGAAGGCCATGCTCGTCATGGAATCTCCACTTAACAAGTTTCTGAAAAATAAAAGATTGCGTAGAATTAATTTATATGCATTACATTACTTGTTAATGAAAAAAGTTAGCTTAAAAATATAGCAAAAAAAATTATACTAGTAGGGAAGAGGACATTATTACAAATTTATCAAAAAAACCATATTTAGTATAGTTTTTAACACGTAGGATATTTTCTTAATAATTTGAGCAATTACCTACCTGCATTCTGGTTTAGATATGAAATAGCAAAGTTGTTGAGTTTTCTCGTAATATTTTAAAAAAAAAAAATTCTTTTTGGTATCCTCTATTATAACACAGGGCAGCCAATGTTACAAGCTGTGAAGCTAGTGAGGACAAACCTGATTACTTATTAAACAGACATTTATTTCAACTCGGGTATATCTAAAGCCAAATTGAAATCTAAGCCTTATTGCAGAATGTATATTGGCGTATTTTTATAGAAATTGTAATTTGTAAGCATTTCACTATGCTAAAAAGGATATTTTGACAGCTAGTCGATACATTTGTAAATCATTACTCTATTTAATTTCCTTGAAAGTACTACCAACTTTAATTTGAATAACCATAGTTTCAACTTGAAAGATAAAATTGTCCGAATGAACAACAGATGTTTATTAATAAAAAGGATAACTAGCAAAATTTTTTGATCACATATCTTATTCTATTTTTTTTTTGATATTTTAGTTTCAATAGTACTCTAATCTTGCCCTTAATTATTAGTATTATTTAGTTTGTGAATGAAGTTTGCAATTTTAGAAGAATTAACAAATAGAAATATACAAAACCAATACTATTTAAAAAAAATTAAAATAAAAAAGTTTTTTAAAGAAGAGAAATTAACTTTATTAATTGCCGTTGGTATAGAGAAATACACTCTGTTTATTAAATTTTAAAATACCTGAATAAAAAATATAAAATTTAAATTAAAACTCATATTTCTCTACTTTTTAACTGATTTTTTTCATACATGCAGTAGTATAATACTTTTATTGTTCTTTTCAAACATGATTTTTAAATAAATTTCTACCTCTCACAAGAGGAGTATCTGCAATATTTTCAATACATTAAACATTCTCAAAAACGCACTATATGTCATTGTGAATAATTGGTTATTAGTAATAACCAGTCAATATTTATAGGCAGGGCCGTCTTAATAGCATGAAAGACCCCTGGGCACGTAAATGGTTTAGGCCCCTTTAAAATGTCATACTGCTTAAGATCGGGTATTAAATTTCACAAACATTAAGTGTAAAATTAAACATTTTTATAACATGCAATAGTTTTGACAAATTTGAACACGTTTTGAATTCTCTGAAAATTTAATACACATAAAATTTAGCATTTTTAAGATTAATTTGAGATGGTAACCAGCCGTAATCGCAATAACTAAATGAACAAATATAAAGATATAACCCCCTTGGCAAAATAAAAACCTTCAATAATTATTTCAAACAAATTTTCCGAACTTTTTTATTCTCAAATTCTTTGATTATTTCCTCAAATTCGATAGTCATTAGCACGTCACTTTCAATGCACATCAGACATAGTCAGTTCAAGCGTTGCTATCCAATAGAACTGCGTAATTGATTTTTTTTATCAATTTAAGCTGTGAAAACGACCGTTCTCCGGTACAATTTGTGATCATCATGAACAAAATAATTCTTAATGCTATTTCAATGCTGGAAAATAGATGCAGTAGTTTGACCTATAAACCGACTTTTAACCAAGTGCCTGATGCAGTATAGCCATTTCTGGCTCTTGTGCCAATAAAACCCAACAATGCTGGGAAATATAGATTTTA